CTGAATCAAACAATTTTCATTTCCAATGGAAGTTTGGAAAGTACTGAATAATTTTAAAATACTCAGATTTCATGTAAGGAGCGCTGGTGGCCTGGTGGTTAAAGCATTTGGCTACTAACCAAAAGGTTGGTGGTTTGAACCCACCAGCTGCTTTGTGGGAGAAATATGAGGCAGTCAACTTCCATAAAGATTTACAGGATTGGAAATCCTGTGGGGCAGTTCTACTCTGTCCTAAAAAAAAGAAAGAAAGAAAAGAAAAGGTTGCTATGAGTTGGAATAGACTCAATGGCAGAGTCATGTGTCAAACATAATGGAAAATCAACTGGAGCCTAGCAAGCTATTTTAATGAGCTCCCTTTCTCTCTGATGTTTCTCAGGGGATATGTGCCCAAGGAGCTCTGGTAGCATAGTGGCTAAAGCACTTGACTGCTAACCAGAAGGCTGGCAGTTCAAACCCACCAGCCACTCCTCGGAAGGAAGGTTGGGCAATCCTACTTCCGTAGTGATACTGCCTCAGAAACCCAAGGAGGGGTCGCTATGAGTCGGGGCCGACTCGACGGCACATAACAACAACAACAACAACAACAACATGTGCCCAAGAGGACCCATGTGGCCCAGAGAGTAACAAGATCATCTTGGCTGTGTTTAGGTACCAGTGGGCTTTTAGCCCAGTGGTAAAGGGGACAGGAGAGTAAAATAAGTAGAAGGAGGGCATGCAGACCTAGTGGGAGTGGGTGTGTGCCATACTGCTTAGGAATTCACTACAAGAAACTCCCAAGCAGCTGTGGAGGCTTGATGTATTATAGGCCAACAGTGCCTCTGTGTGGGATGTCTGAGAGTATTATGAACCATGTTTCTGTGTGTTGTGGAGGGAGAGATGGGAAAGATGGAGAGGAGAAAACTGTGCATTTTTGAGTTGCATGCTTCAGAGGTTCCTTTTGAGAAGGCAGATAGGAAGAAAAGATTGAGAACTATAGATTTACAAATGCACAGGACCCTCAGAGCATATGAATCTTTTAACCCTATGCACCACCATCACCTTGGGGGAAAAAAAATCTATTTACTACCTTCACTGTTCCTTTTCCCCAGTTATTCTGATGTTTGGCTTACCCCACCCACTCTGAACACCCCTTTAACTTCAACTGATCAGCACATAAGTATTAAACTTGAGCTGTATTATTTTTCACTGGATGTCTTATTTGTGATTGTTCTTTGTCTCATATATTTGTGTATTTTCTCCTCCTGGATTAAAAACTCCTTGAGAATTTATTCTTTTTTTTTTCTTTTATAACTTCATGGCCTATTTATTCTGCACTCAAAAATGACTTAAGGAGAAGGTAGGTGCAATGATCACAACAAAACTTTACCCCAAGTCACCAAGTTGAGACAAGAGAGCTCCTGGATACTGTGACAGTGGCACTTCCAGCCCCCATGCCTAGGAAGGGAATTCTGTCTTTAAATAGCATAGCATGGCAGTCTCAGGAGATCTGGGGTGGGACACCCCCTACTCTGGCTGCACCCAGGAAAACAGTTATTGAAGATTTGTTCTTATAGAGGCTAATACTCCCTCTTGTTCTCTCACCTCACCTCTTTGTTACCAAATTCTGGGTACTTCTTAGGAAATGTTTAACATGACTCTATAATACTTCTTCTTCATAGGATTTTTCTTCTCTTCACAAAGTCTTACTTTATTACATGACTCAGATTTATTTTTAGAACTTAAAAAAATTAATAACAAGTATTTCCATACTTTCTAAAGCCAATGTGTTTAAATTTCAATTATGTAATATTTTACATGGACAGAAATATTAAAAAGAATAATACATCACTCTGAATCTACCACCACCAGAATGAACATACTTGTTTCTTTTCTTTAAAAATAAAAGTTAAATATACAGCTAACTGCCCAGGACCCTGTCCATTCCAGTCGCCTCCCTAGCTCCCTAGAGATAATTAGCCATTTTTCCTGAAGCTGATATATAGCCTTCCCCTGCCTGTTTTCATATTTCCATTGCATAGTTCAAAACATCCTCCCTTGTAAAGGGTGGCCATTGAACCTGAGAGCTACTCATACATAACTGAGCCTGGCCATCAGTGTGACTCCTGAAGGAGAAGGACTGTGTGGATGAGCATCATTACAGGCCTCTGGGTGCACATTTGTCAGCGGAGACACTTTGGTTACTGCACCTGCGATGCAGGAAGAGAGAGTAGCAGGGGAAAGACAGTCCTACTCTGAAGAAAAGTGCTTAACAGAGGCAAGGCCATTGTTGCGGAAGTGGAACTGAGGCCATGCTGGACACAGGATGAGAAGTAGATGTGTAGAGGTGGAAAGCGGCTCGCAAGGGGTGGAAGGAAAAGGATGTTAGGTAAGGACAAAGAGGAGAGCCCTTACTGGCACAGACTTTTGCTCCCTTGATCATCAGAGAGGACAGGACAGGGCCAGGAATGCAGTTTGGGTTTTATAGATGCTTCTTGGGCTGGGGTGACCTCTGATGATGTAGACCATCCCAGCAGACCAATCAGAGATGATTCAACTTTCCTATTGTTGTTGTGTGGCATGAGTCTTTTTGACACCTAGTAACCCAATGGGATAGGGTAGAACTGCCCCATAGGCAGGGGCGTAGGGAGAGTAACAAGCGCCTGGGGTAATCTCTAAATTGCTACCCCCCCATCCCCACAATTTTAAGATGAATAGACGTTGATAGCAGCAATAGGTCAGTATAAACGCCTTCCCCCTCTTTGTCCAGCTGCCTCAGTCAGGCACCTTTGATGGTTGTCATTCCAGCCCTCGTTTGAAGCCTCCTTGGGCTTGCATATGGGGGCAAGTGCCTCCTTCTGCTTCCCCGTGCTACACATCTGGATGTCTATGGTGGTGGAGGAAGGACCATACTGGGTTAATAGAAACAGTTCAGTGGCGCCCAGGGCATGTGCCATACCTGTCATACCTTAGATGCACTTCTGCCCATAGGGTTTCCAAGGCTTTAGTCTTTGTGGAAACAGATTGCCACATCTTTCTCCCCTAGATCGCCGCATCTTTCTCTGCTAGATCGCCTGGTGGGTTCCAACTACGACATTTAGTTAGCAGCCCAGCGCTTACCCTCTGGACAACCAAGACTCCTTACTTTCCTATTAGTACTCCTCACTGTAGAGTTGCCAAGTAAAATAGAGGGTGTCCAGTCAAATTTGAATTTCATATAAACAATGAATACTTCTTCAGTAAAAGCATGTCTCAAAAACTGCATTAGATATGCTGCTAAAACATATAATGAATACCTTGCACACCCCCCTCTTTACCTGAAATTCAATTGTCCTGTGTTTTTATTGCTACCTACCTCAGTTGAATTTTGGAAGGATTTAGGAAAAAACCCAAAGCGATCAAGCAACACACTTCAGGAGTCTTTGAAAAATAGTCAAATGGCTCCTGAGGAGTAATGTTAACACACACAATCTTCATCAATTTCCCAAGGCCTAAGATCCACCAGCCACTCCTTGGAAGGAAGATTGGGCAATCCTACTGCCGTAGTGATACTGTCTTGGAAACCCAAAGAGGGGTCGCTATGAGTAGGGGCCGACTCGAGGGCAAATAACAACAACAACAACAACAACAAGATAGGTTAAAACAGCAATAAACAAAAACAGCAAGCTAACCAACTTTATTGATTTGGTAGGCCACAAACATACTCACAGTTATTTTTTTTAGCAGCTTTATTGATACATAATTTACATGCCACAAAAATTTTAAAGTGTACATTTCAGTGGTTTTAGTATATTCACAGAATTGTGCAACCATTATCACTCTTAATATTAAAACATTTTCATCGCCTAAAAAAAAAAGACACTTCCTACCCATCAATAATCACCTCCATTCCTAAACCCCTTAACCAGACCCTGGTACCTATTAATCTACTTTCGGTCTCGATGCATTTGTCTGTTCTGGACACTTTGTATTACTGGCATCTTACAATTTGTGAAGTTTTATAACTGGCTTCTTTCACTTAGCATGATGTTTTCAAATTTTATCCATGTTGTAGTATATATATATTTATAGTTGAACAATATTCCATTGTATGGCTATTCCACATTTCATTATCCATTCATCAGTTAATGGACATTTGCGTTGTTTCTACCTTGGTTATTATGAATAATGCCGCTATGAACATTCATGTACAACTTTACTGTATACTATATTTTCTCTTTGGTATATCACTAGACGTGGAATCCCTGACCATATGGCAACTCTATGTTTAATATTTTGAAGAATTGCTAAACTGCTTCCTAAAGTGGCTGCACTATTTTATATTCTTATTCTTTTAATTTTTAAAAAAAGACTATTAGGGTTTCCTCCGCGTTCCAGAGATTAAGGTCAGACCCAGAAACAGTCGCCGAAAATTCGCGCCCACGGTTCCGCCTTAAGGGCTGCCTCGCTTTGCTCCAGCCTCCAAGGCTGAGATATATCCGCTTGCACTGTGGGAAACGTAGTTTCTTTCTCCACTGGACCCCCTCCTCCTTAGCGCTTGCAGGCAGGACAAAAACAGACGCTCCTTGCCGGGGCTATTATGGACATTGTAGTTCTCTTTCCCGTCGGCGGCGCAGAAACTGTGGTAAAGAAAACTATAATACCCAGAATACAGCGGTGCTACGAAAGCCGAAGGGGCCGTACCGCGTCCAGAATTCCCCCTCTCCCCCGCCCACCTACAGGTCCCCGCCACTTTCCAGAACGTCGGTAAAAACACCCAGAGAGTGTCATGGAGGGGGAGGAGGACGCGGCGGCGGCGAAGGGAGGTGTTTTGGGCCGCCTCCAGGGTTCGCTTTGGCACTCCTGAACTAGCCCTTCGTCCTCGTGCCTGTGGCATCAGCCAGGCGAGCTATTAGGCAAGAGGAGGAGGCAGTCAGAACCATATCCCCTGCTTCCCCCGGGGCGGGGGCCGGACCGGGCCAGGCCGGCTGAACCAGGGGAGGGTCCGGGTAGGGAGCGCCGGGCCGGCCGCCCTGTCTGCCGAGATGGATGACAGTAAGGTAAGTCCTGTGGTTTGCACGCGCAGCTGCCGCCGCCGCCTCCTGCTTATCGTTAAATACTAGTCCCGCCGCTGAGCCTCAGTTCTCAGTAATCCGTGCCAACACCCAACAAACACCTGCCTTAGGCATCCCTGCTCTTCTCCAGTTTTTGCCCGGTGGTACCCAACCAGGAATTTTGGAATACCGCAGCTATGTTTCATGAGAAAGGGCCCTGTCCTCTGGAAATTTTTCACTCCCAGGGCAAACCTGTTGGCCAGCTTTTTCAGGTGGTGCTAGTCCTTGACTTGCTTATTGAGATAAAGAAACTTGTGCTTTTTTATTTTGCCCTCCCCTGCTCCTGCCTTAGCATTTTTCTAGCTTGGAGAGCTTAACTAGTGCACCCTGAACCAGCCTTATTTTCCTTGACGAGTCTTCTTTATTTTCTCAGGCTCCCTTACTCAATGCCCCATTCATATAATCAGTTCACTCCCCCTTTGAGCTATGTGGTTGGTTGGAACACTGCTAAACTCAAGTTGCTATTCCACCGGAGTCTGGAATCCAATCTCTTGAAAGCTTTCCTTCAAAAAGTCGCGAATTCCTTTTTGTTAACCTATCTTGACATGCCATCATCACCCCCTTGTCTACCCAAATCACTTATCCCGATGATAGGCAGTGTTCATCATTTGGTAATTTATATAGTTTATGTATAAGGTGGATGTCTTTATGTCTTTCCACATTGTGGCTGTCTAATTTTATTTCATGAAGATAACGTAGTCAGAGATGTTAAGAAATTTGACTTAAATAATTACTAGTTTTACATTTTAAAGAATTAGACTTTTGAAATTTGCCAGTTTTTGAAATAGAAGTCAGTCCTTTCCTGTGCTTTCCAGGGGTCTGATTTCCCACAATCTCTACCATGCTCCTCTTACAGCTTTTTCCTTTGCTTGAGTCTCCTCTTGTCCTCCACCTAACCAGTAAAATTTTGCTGTTGCTAAGTTGTTGTTTTACACATTCTCAGAAAGATCAAATATTAAATTCCAGTTTCTTTGTGCTCTTTGGTTTATTCTAAGTTATCTGCTGCTCACTTTCCTTCAGAAGGCCCTGAGAAAAGTGATAGAAGAAGAGAAAGCCAAACAATATTCTGGATTTGGGATTCACGTAGAGAAACTAAACAGATTGCTTGTGAAGTAGCAGACAGTACTAGATAAAATGGGGAGTTCTGACAGTTTTCCAGAAAAGCAGAAGAGAATTTTCTGTAAAAGTCTTTGCTGGCTTAATCTTGCAGTTTATATTTTGCAGTCAAATGTGAATACTATACCCATTACCTTTTTCCAGAAAATAATGTTACACCTATTTTAGAATGCTAAAATATTTTTTTGTTTCCTTAATTTGAGACTCTCATAGTATACCTGTTGCTGTCGAGTTGATTCTGACTCATAATGACTCTATAGGACATAAGGGTTTCCAAGGCTGTAATCTTTGTGGGAACAAATGCCACATTTTTCTCCCACAGAGTCACTGGTGGGTTTGAACCACGGACCTTTCTGTTAGCAGCTGATTACTTAACTACTGCTCCAGCAGGGCCCCTCTTAGTATAGTCTACCTAACTTTCGGTTGTTCCCTTTTAAGACCTTTTAAACATTTAATAATTTTCCCAAAGTCTTCAAAAATCTCAAAAGTAGTCCAAGAACAATACATTCAACTCTTTGGTTATTTTGCTTACCTATAACATCAAGTAAGGAGCTCTGGTGGCATAGTACCTAAGGCATTTGACTGCTACCCAGAAGGTTAGTGGTTCAATGCCCCCAGCCACTCCACGGAAGGAAGACTAGACAATCTACTTCTGTAAAGATATACTGCCTCGGAAACCCAAAGGGGGTTGCTATGAGTTGGAATCAACTCAATGGCAGTGAGTGTGGTTTTGTTTTTTATAGCATCAAGTAAGGCTTGTTTCTAAAAGTAATGCAATGTAGTTGGGGGGGGGGGATAAGATTTCCTAGTTCTGCCTAAAGGAAAAGTTACTTTTTGTGGGGGAGGCTACCTATAACTTACTTCCTGTAGCTATACAGATACATGCAATGAATCAGCTCTCATTCTTTATTAATTCATTGTTTTTGTGAGAATATTTAGAAACCAGAAGTTTCTTAAATGTTTAATGATTACTGTAAAGAAAATGCATTTTAAATGTCTCTGGATGGATATTGACTCTGAGTACACTATTTTCACTTTGAATGCATGTCATACTTGTGGATGAATAATATTTAAATGCCATTTACAGCAAGACTAGACTATTCCTTCAGTTCAAACCAAACCCACTGCCATTGAGTTGACCCTGACTTGTAGTGTCACTATAGGACAGAGTAGAACTGCCTCAGGGTTTCCAAGACTGTAAATCTTTGTGGAAGCAGACTGCCTCATTGCTCTCCTGCTAAGCAGCTAGTGGGTTTGAATCTACGACCTTTTGGGTTAGCAGCCAAAATACTTCAACCACTGTGTCACCAGAGCTCCTTATTTCTTTAGTTAGGCAGTATGGAGCCACCCTTAAGTAAGGCTTTGGCAGCCCCAGTCCTAGCTCTCTCTGATCTGGCAACATTTACCCTCTTCCCAGAGTACAGCATACATACTTACACATAAAACACACTCTTCACTCACATTGTGTATGGGTCACAGAGACCCTGCTTCCATTTTTCCATGTATAGGGGAAAGTGAGGTTGGGACTTGGAAATAAGGTGACAGCTTGTAAGAGCATATAGGATGACAACTGGCTGACATCAAAGCCAGGGCAACAGAAAGATGGTGGATGGGCAAGAATAGCTGTTATAGAGAGAGGAAGTATTTGAACAGCTCAGGGAGCAGATGATGATGAGAGGTGAGAATTTCCTTTAAAAAGTTCTGTATTCTAGTTATTTTCACCACTGGCAGTGAATGAATTTGCCAGGAGCTCTCCACACTGTCATTTAGCCTCTCGGAGTAAGAGCAGGTCAGACTTGAATGGGAGTGCTTTGCCTGCTGTCTAGCTGAGTGCCTGATACAGTATAGAGTACTAGTTATTAGTGATTGAATTGAGTTGGAACAGTGTGTCATTAAGTAAGTTGTCCTGACATACCTGGGTTTTATTAATCAGCTGTGTGCTTATGAGCAAACCAACTAAGGAATAAAAACCCAGCAGTCCTAGACAATAGCAAATAGAATAAAAAATAGAAATTATTTCTATTCTAAAAATAGAAATAAAGCAAGAGATAGATTGGGCATTTAACAGTGAGGGCCTGGGAAAGGACTAAGTAGCAGGACTCAAATACTGACTGGGTGGAACTCCTACTGGGCTTGTTGAGAAGGAAAAAATCTTGGCTAAGTTATTTAACCTTTCTGTCCTTCCATTTCTTTAATTATTAAATGAGTGTAATACCTTTTCCTCAGACTTTGATGAGGTGAGATGATACATAGAAAACATCTAATATCGAGTTTAACACATAGCAGGCACTCCAAAAATGTTCCCTAGCAGTGACTTCCATGGTCCTTACCACAGTGTACAGTAGGCACCCAACAGGCTTGTTTTAGTAATTTCTTAAGTGTATGCTGTTGTGTAATACCTGTAGCCATGTTTACACTTATGTTATCCTTTGTTTCTAACTATGTCTACATAGGACAGGGGCAGTGAGATGGGACATGAAGTGAACTTAAGCTCTGCCCTTAACTATTGGCTTGTAAGAAATGTAATCTACATGTTCACCACTTTTAGGAAAAAATGCTTCTTTTTATGAAAGCTCCTCCTCCCTGACATACTGCATTTATTTATTATGTTTATTGAATAAACAAATGTGCAAACTGACATTTCTACACCAGAGTGTTTGTTCCTGCTGAAGACTATAAGCCGGTAAAAGATCAGCAACTGTATTGCTCAGCCTGACAGGTGGGGCATCAGTTAGGGAGCAGATGAAGGAGTTGACTACCACTGGCCACAGTGTACTAATATGGGCCCCTCTTCTCTCCATACAAGGAGCTCTGGTGATGCAGTGGTTAAAAGCATTTGGCTGCTAACCAGTAGGTCAGCAGTTCAAACCCACCAGTCATTTCATGGGAAAAAGATGAGGCAGTCTGCTTCCGTAAAGATTTACAGCTTTGGAAACCCTATGAGGGCAGTTCTGCCTTGTCTTACAGAGTAGGAATCAACTCAGTGGCAGTGGTTTTCCCTCCGTGCTTCCTTTCTACCTTGTGCTGCACGCTGTTATCTGGGAATGTGGTTTCTTATACCTCCCTTACTCCTTCTTTCCCACAGTTTTCTGTTCTATTCAGTTGTTCTGAGTAGTGCTGGTTGTCACTAAAATTTTAACATGGTCAAAAAAATCTCTCTGACATTCCCAGGCCTGTCCTTTGACCTCCGAGGTCCTCTTATTATTGGCCCCTTAGTCATCCACTCCTATAGTTGAAGTTACGTTCTTGGGTAGTGCCTCATAGTTGAGACATTTTTTGCTTTTTCTGTCCTATCCTACTCTATCAGTGCTTTCCACAGGACCAGGAGAGAAACCATCTGTTAAATCTCTGATACTAGATATTAACGTATTAATGTGCCTTCCTTCCTGTTCAGGTATTGTACATTTTGACTAGGATATCTCAATACCAAAACCAAACTGACAGCCGTGGAGTCGGATCCAACTTATAGTGACCCCTCCTTGGGTTTCCGAGGCAGTGTCACTATGGAAGTAGATTGCCCAACCTTCTTACCGAGGGGAGCTGGTGGGTTTGAACCGCCAGCCTTCTGGTTAGCAGTCAAATGCTTAGGCACTGTGCTACCAGAGCTCCCCAGATATCTCAATAGATAGCTTAATCCTAAAAAGTAATTTTAATGCTATAAAAAGCAACTGAAATCTAAGTTTAGATAACCTTTTTCAGAATGTTTTGCTCTCTAAGGTTCTCAGAAAAGCTTGCTCCTTTCATTTATTCATTAATGTATCAAACATTTATTGGAGAATAGTTACATTTCAGTAAGGTAAGCAGACATGTAAAAAAGTAATTATAAGGAG